GGATGAACCTTATCCAGGTCTCCTGCTAGTGTGGCTGCTTCTGGAAGTGACTCACTGGTCCTGTGAAGTCCGTGACTCACTGTTGTCCTGACTTTGTTATGGCTCAGCCTGTTGCTAGCGAGGAGGTGAGGGGTGGCGAGAGTTCCTCAGTGGTATAATTTAGATGTATAGAGGTTGACTGCTCCCTTCCACCCACTCCCCAGCCTTGCACAAGGTGGAGGCCACCATGCAAGGGCTGAAGGACCTGAGGATGGAGTCAGGATCCCCGAGACAAGCACCTTGCCCCTCCAGCTGGGAAGAGTGAGCAGCCTTGCAAAGGGGAAGGCATAAAGGGGAAGGCACCACAACGATGACAATGGAAGACACCGCATGCTGGCATGGATAGTGATGAACTTTTATTTCTTGATGCGACCCCAGACAAAGGCTGGGACATGTTCCCAACTTGGAGTGCTGCTCAACCCTCACTTTCCCCCGCAGACCTCAATGACCTCCCGAAAGCCAGGGGGATGCCGTGGTCTCCCCCTGGGACAACTGCGGCCTCCCGGGAGGGTGCTGGGGGCTGCACCCTCCCACTGCGGCCAGGGCGCCGGCGGTGGCTTCCCGCGAGCAGGGTGTAGAAGAAGGGGTTGACACAGCTGTTGCCATAGGCCAGGCACGTGACGCCGAAGTTGAGGTATGCCTGGGCGGTAGGGCTGATGCCCAGAGCCTGGCCCTGGTACAGCCCGGCCAGCTGCCAGGCCCAGAAGGGAAGGAAGCAGGCCCAGTAGGCCACCACGATGGTGGAGATCCTGGAGAAGAGCCGGCGGGCAGGGGCCCACTTGAGCCCCCAGCAGAGGAGCGGTAGGTCCGGGCCAGGCGGGCGTAGACAATGCCCAGCACCACACCAGGCAGCAGGATGCTGGTGGCGAAGAGCACTGTCAGGTAGAGCCGGAAGGCCACCGGTGTCCAGGTGGGCACGCAGATACGCTTGTGGGGGCCACCTCCCTCCCGCAGCTGAGTCATCACCATCATGGGGGCCGCAAGCAGGAGCGAGAGCAGCC